CAAATTTGAAGGGTGCCTGAAAACTTGGCATCTCTAGCGGTTTTAAAAGGAAATACTTCGCGGTGCTATCTATAAACTATGCATAGAATTAGGATTATATTCCACGCCGCCTCGCTATACACCGTTCCCCCCCAACCCTCCCCCCCCCGCCCCCACGCCCCCCCCCCTCGCCCCCCCCATAACAGCACGCGCTTTCATCCGGCTACATTGGTTTTTTTTACAATGTTATTTTACTGCGCACTAGGCCAAAAGAACTACGCCGTTTGTTTATCAAAAAGTTGAGCGTGTCGATATTCTTCGACGTTTTCAGGCGTTTTTAGCTGGTATTCATGATTAACATAAACGTTAAAAATGAATTTCTAGCTAATTTGGTTGGAGAGGCAGCTACACTATCGCCACGCGACGCCACGCGAGCACACTGACCACGCCACGCACGCCACGACGCACGCACGGCACGCACGCACGCACCGGCGCAGCACACGACCACACGCAAGCACCAGCAGCAGCATCAGAAAAAATTAAGATATTGACTGCTTGTGCATACACTAAACTGCTAATTGAAACTGTATATAAGTCAGGGTGTATCGCATAAGTTGTGTTTACCGCTACATACTGACTTAGTGATATCACTGATAACTACTCCTTCGAAACAGAACGAGCCTACCTGCGGAATTCCATGCCCAAACCAGGAAGACGTCTACATCAGCCAAAAGGTATCAGCCCTACCTGCAGAAATGGCATTGGGCATGAGACCCCATTCATCGTAACTAGCCAATACAGTAGGTGTGTGTGCTTGCCAGCATACACAGTGTACGGCGGGGGGGGTAGGTGGCTAGAGGTCGAATGACCTCTTGTTACCTAGGCCAAACCGAGGCGCAACTTGCTAGCGGGAGGACAGATGGTTTCGGCGAGCAGATGCTTTCGCGTGTAAGTAGTGGCATGTTTATTTTTTGCAAGTCCTTTATCCCCCACGTCCCCAATGCACTAAGAGCTAATTCCCAGAAGCAATGTCAAGCAGATTGTGGTGAAAGCGCCTAATTAGTAAGTACTACTGCCGCTAGCCAGTCAAACATGCTTGCGTCACTTCGCCCAGCATGTTCATTACTATTGTCTCCACTGGACCTGCGTACCTGACGCTGGCGGCCACATCGCAAACCCTACACTCTTACTTCGATTACTCAATTAATCTCGAGCAATTCATGCTGACATACTCAGGCCGTCTATCGGATTTGACCAAAGCGCGCTTAACAGTCGATAGATCTCGAAAAAGGAAGATGTGTTGTTGTTGTGAACGCAAGCCAGCAAGCGATCAGTTTACATGTTGGCAATCCTTGGCCGCTTTTCCTCCTTAGCGCCAACTGGCTTTTTCAGTGGCCCGTTACCCATAGTAAACACAATTTTTTGAGGTGCTCTGATATTGAAGTCACATGAACCAAACATTCAATCGCATTACGAGCCTTTTGTCGCGCTACCGCGAGAGCTGCCTGCTCAAATCCGCGCACACGGCCCTGATGTTACACTGCCTTGAGCCAACCGGCCTCAAGGGAGACGCGTTGGCTTCAGCAGGAGTAGCTCAGCGGTGGTTGCGGCGCAGCATTTTTTTCTTTATTTCTAGCTCGGGTTTCTCTTACGGCCTCCCGCCCCCCCCCACCCCATCTCGTGTTTTCACGATTTTTGAGCTCGCCGTGGCTGTGAGATCCGATATCTATCTTTTTTGATATTATGTTGCCACGCCGCGGCAGAAAGCTCAGGCGTTGTGCCGGGGCTCCTGTTTGAGCCGTATTTCAGCCTCAGCCCAAATATTTTATCCGCACAACTTGAAGCGCCAGGATATTAGTGGATTCGTTGATTACACAATGCTCGGCGCGCCACTGACGCACGGGCACGGAAAACCTTACTTTTCTGCTAGACTTCTGTGATTGTGCCCTACACCGTGCGTGTCGTGCGGCGGTGACTAGCAGGCTACACAAGTTTTATCAAAAAGTGTCGTTGCGGCATTGGCTGTTGCGTTTGTGCCACTCACATTGCGTACATTTGATGTGGTGTGCGTGGGTGGGCGTGTGTTACGTCACGTGACGTGCGTTGGCGTTTTTGCGTGCTGCGTCGCTGGGGATTGCGGGTGGCTCCCGCGGTGGTGTGTGGGGGCACGTACACCCGTCGCGATTTGCGGTGTCGCACGTACCACGTCGCGGGGCTCGCGTGCTTTTGCCGTGTGGTCGCCTTGGGCCGGGTGTTCGCAGTTCACACCGGTTTCCCGGTGCCTGCGGGTTGCGGGGCTGTCTGTGGCGTGGCTGGCCAGTTACCACGGTGCTGCTTGGGCCACCCTGTGTTGGCCGTCGCGCCGGCTGGCCGGTACGTGCTCAGTCCGCGTGCGTGCCATGATGCATGTTCCACGGGAGGCACGCCACGTCACCAGTTACTCGGTGGCACACCACGCCCACGTGTACGTGCCCACTCACACGGACGCCACGTCACGGCACGTGGTACGTAACACACGACACGCACACACTCATCGTAGCTCATGTGTACGTGCAAACGCACGCATGCACGCACGCACGAACGTTGTACCTGCACACCGCCCGCGGCCCACACACGCAGGCTGCTACTGTGCACATCAGCCAGAATCTTACAGCGAAATGTAGGAGGCTTTTCTTTCTCTACCCCCTGTTCAGTGCGGCGACCGACTTTTTTAAATCACATGCCCTATTTCCTAAGCGCTTTCATATGGGTCCCGCGGCTAAATATCTTTCGTGGCCTGAGCTGATAGGCCACCGAGAGCCCGCACTCAACCCGCGTGAGTTTCTGGCCTCGCCGTTTGCGCCAAAATATACTCAAAACACGACCTACGCATATCCCGCCGTCTCATCAGACACGCTAGGCCAAACAAATCCCCCGTGCAGATCACTCTGCGCGCGCGAATCCTGGCGCCAGCGCCTGAGCTACTTCTTGCTGCAGCCATTGTTTAGTTTCCCGTTTGTGCGGCGGGCGGGGCTTCAGACTGGCCAAGATCACCAAACCGCTGCGCTCTCCCTTAATTGACAGCGACTGCGCGCTGCATGCATAATACCAGCATGCATGCGTGCTGACAATACCCGGCCAGATCGCTACAATAATGTTAGTCACAGGAGCTCAGGGTGAAGACGATAATATTGTCCCGTGGGCCCAATGTTGGCCCCAACAGATGGCTCATAATTGATTATTGATGCGAGGCATTACCAATTTAGTACCATGGTTATATCAGGAGTGTATAATAGCGGACTTATCACTGCCTGTTTATACACCCCCTACTTACTACACTCCTGATGTTATAACTATTAGTACAAATCAGAGTGTGCCTACTAGCACCTGTCGCTAGAGGCCAAAGGCCACTCAACCTCCATGTCGCGGGCTCCCCGGGCCCGGCCATGCTAACTCAGTGTGCATGGTGTGACGGGGCTGCCGGGCACCAGTTCTCTCCAGTTTCACGACCTATTCTTCGGGTTCCCTCGGTCTACTCCCACGGCGCCGCCCCGGCGGGCGGGGACTACGTCCTCGCTGGCTGCTTGCTCGAGTCCTCCCCTTGCTCAGCCTCAGCCGGCCCGCCCCCGCTACGCTCCCCTAAGCTAACATGCACAACCGCCCCTAGTTTTTATCTATGAGTGTTCCAGCGCGTATCTTCACATACTCGTAAACAAGTGGTGTTAGGTTTAGCGTCGTCAGCGGTTAGTGTTAGGGTATTAGGGGTTTATCCCTAGTTGTTTGTTTAGTTGGGAATGTGTGCCAGCCAGGAAAGGCCCTGCTGGTGCAAATGTGTGCGCGCTATCGTTCATTGACCTCGGCAAAGTGCATCTGATACACGCGCCACGATAAATCGGGCGGCTATATAAATCATCAGCAGGAGTCATGCTGCTAGTGGCAGCTGTCTACGGCGTAATGCTACGGCTGCCCAATAGTTAACGAGCTGCTCTACGATCACCGTACGAGTAGTGAAGCCTCTAATGTGGCTGTTATTAAAAAGAGACATAACGTCGGCTCGGCAAATGGTTTACCGTAGGCTATTGATGTTTGTTTCCGGCCAGGAATCTGTGCTAATGCGCAAATAAGAGCACGTATAATAAGTAGCGTCTGCCGTGTTTCCCTTTTGTGTTGGATCACAGGCACTTGAGCCGCTTCAACAATAAATTAATGGTAAATGAACACAAATTGTAACCCCAAAGTTGATCTACTCTCTGTACATATATAACATATATACTATAATAACTATACGCAAATACCGCTCAAATGCGCCACTACAATACGCAATCTTACAGCACGTATGTCATTGTACAAGCTCTCAGAAAATTTAGTTTTTTGCTATGTTGAATCGTTGATTTAGAGATTGTGCACAGCGGCATGCGTTGGATGAGATGTGTGTTAAATTATTTGGGGGATAAAGAGTACCAACATTAAGACTGGTAGTAAGTACAACTTGTGTTTATTTACCATCATTTTTTGTTCAAACGGCTTAGGTGCATGGCGCCTGCTTATCAAATAATTCTCAGAAGCCTTAATTGTTGTTTGACTATTTTAAATGTGAGTAGATTTGAGGTGACAAAATTAAAACTCATAGTAATGTATCTTAGCCATAATCTTGTAGGTACTGTATCGAGGAAACCCCATTTCAAATGCACAGAAGCAATGTCAAAGACAAAGTCAAAAACAAAAGCAATGTCAATGTCAAAGTCGCTCAGGGGGAAAACTGTACATTCTAACTCTCCCGTTTTTATTTGATTACCTTAAATGTAATTTAGTATAGCAAAAATGTCGACAGTATAACGTCATTGATTTTGGTAAATTGGAGTTGGTTTGTCTGCAATCTACAAGAAACGTCTGCAAGGAAAATTTCTAACAGAATCTATCGATTTAAATGCGGGCCGTAAGCACTGGAAACGAGTACAGGTTGTTGTTAGAGAACTATATGCACGAGCTGATGATTATTCGAAGGAAACGCGTGATCAGCATCTTTGTTTTGCTTGTTTCAGGGGTTCTTCAGGAGGAGCATTCAGCAAAAGATTCAATACCGACCATGCATGAAGAACCAGCAGTGCTCAATCCTACGTATCAACCGCAACCGCTGCCAGTACTGTCGCCTAAAGAAGTGCATTGCCGTCGGCATGAGCAGAGATGGTAAGTTAGTTCTACTTAATCAGCCCACATTATAGTCCTCACATGCATTCTACACTCTTCCTCGGGTGCATTCATTAGTGTCCCTTCTCATATGTATCTCCTGTTTCTTCAGTACATTACCATACCCATTCTATACTTGCGATGTGCACCAGTAATTATGACGATTTGTATGGATCCTTTATTTTGCTACTATATATTATGCAACTATGAGCATATATATATTAGTCATAATATTTATCATAAAATTGTAGAATAATATAATATCATATTAGTTACTTGATATATATGTTATTATAATTATTGCGCGTATTATTGATATAGCGATGTGATGTTGCCAGGTTGAATAATTTCATGATGGCACAAGATTCTGATGTTATCTTGCTAACATCGATATAAAAAATTTGTGGTAGCAATCCTTCATCTATTTATCCCGGTCAGGTTGACATATTCATATTGTTTGCGTTGTACAGTTCAAAGAGAATCAGTTATTGGGTGGGGGTCACTGACTGTGATACGCTTATTAATCAAGCACAAGGATCCGGTGGTTGTTTACCCCTGGAGGCTAATTGCCTTCCTATTTGCCTCAATGGTATAGGCAGTTGACAATAGAAAAATCAACGTTACATTGTAATTCACTAAGTAGAATAAGAGTGACATTCTCATTTGCCCTGCGCCTATAGTTTCAAGTGAGTACAAGATACAGTCATCGCCTTTGCGCCAATAATAATTCATCCCATGTCAAACATGTTCACGATTTCATATTTCATCACCTTTCATTCGTAATTCGCAAACAGCTTTGCGCCAGCACTGCGAGGTAGGTATATGTTCTGGCCGCTTAATCACACATGGGGTAGGAGAGTGCATTGACAGCACGTTCGTGCTCAAGTTTGCCAAGCCTCCGTGTGCGTGGCAGACGACGACGACAACAACAACAACAACATGAATGCTGGTGCGCGTGTAACTGCCCCACATGCTAGCTAGATCCCTCACTCACTCGCTGTTTGCCTGGCGAGTGGTTCGTTGACCTGCGCCACTCCGGGGCGTTGGCCTAGATACGCGATTACCCACAATCCCGCAGGAACAAAAACGCGTTTTGACAGCAGCTGTGAGCTAGTAATCAATGCAGCTGTTTACTGAAGCCACTATATACAACTAGTTGAGAGGATGTTCACGCTGCGGGGATGAAATAGGAAGGCTACGAGATGGCGTGTAGTGGACGGAAATAAAACGCTAGCTATGTGCTAGCATTGAAAATGATGAGTAGGTACTTTGACGTGACATTACATTTAATTCACTATATAATATAGCGCATGTGCTTCCCACTAACGAGGTTTCAAACGGGGGGGGGGGGCTGCGTCATTGTGCTATGCGGCCAGCATTGAGTAAGTTTCGTTGTATATCTTGCTTCACTACAGAATGCAAACAGATAAATCTACTATTGGATTTAGCTCGTGTGGCAGCCATGTATAGGGGGGTATCGCAGTCATGTATATGGGGTATCGCTACTAGCAGCCATCTACCATCAATATCGGCACAATCTAACTTGTTCCACTACAGTGTGCACATGAATTGTAGATCTATGGACAATCCTACCTTCATTCTGAAAAACGTGTGGATTGAGCTGGAACGGAGCACCCTTCAACTGAGTGGATGTCAGGTTGTTAAGGCCGCCCGCGTCGAATGTCTCGCTTTCTCCGTATATATATGCGAATAGGACCCCCTCCAAGTAATTATGGCACAAGTCTGCATTGTTTCGTACTCGTAATAATGATAATTCTAGTATTTATGTTCCCTTAATTTTAGAGAATTTTTTATTTGGTGAATAGCATACTTGAATTTAATGTATAAGTCCACAATTTCATAGCTTAATTACTACATTAAAACTCAATTAACGTGATTACGAAGTGATAATGATCATTGTGCCATCGTGATCTTGTGCCATTGTGCTTTGCGTTCTCGTGCCCTCTGGTTGCTTCGTCTGACTTTAGTATATGTATGCGCTGTGGTTTGATTTAATTATTTAGCGCTATTTATTATACCCCCGCAAACGAAGTTTGAAGGGGGTATATAGGAGTCATTTGACGGTCGGTCGGCCGGTCTGGCGGTCGGGCGGTCTGGCGGGCGGGCGGGCAGGCGGTCGGTTGGTCCGTTGCAAAAAGTTTGTGGCGCGAACTACTTTCACGGTTTTCAAGGGATTCCAATCAAACATCATACACTTGATGTACGTGACATATTTTTTGTGCGTCGGTCAAGGCGTTGCCATGGAAACCGTCTCTCATCTTTAATATACCCTCGCCGTTGCACAAAGTTTGTGGCGCGAATTACTTCCACAGTTTTCAATGGGTTGCAATCAAACTTCATACACTTGATCACCATGAAGTGTAGAAATGCGTGACATATTTTGTGTGTGCGTCGGTCAAAGCGTTGCCATGGAAACCGTATCTCAGCTGGCGCTTACCGCGGCATTTGTTCTTTTTTTCCACCAGTGTCAGGTATCACATCGTTTGTCTTGCCTGCTATTACATATACCCGATTCTATTACCCGTCGTTCTCGTGAACGCCGTGAGTGCTGTCCGCAGTTAGCTGGTAATGGAATTTAATTACGAACGTATTATGCAACATTGAAATAAATGATGACATATAATATGAATAAAACATGAGAGGAATAGCTGTTCAGGGGCAGCGGTAAGAGATCGAGACACGTGGTTGTATTGCTAGTTCCACTGCGTGTATTCTCTCATAAAATCGCCCGCAAATAATCCAAAGATGGCAATTACCTACTGCGCCATTTGTACGTTCGGTTCGGTTCGGTACGAGGTTTCGTAGCAGTTCAGCTTGGTTAACATTTTACGATAGCGGCGATATTTTTGCTCAGTTGCGATTTTTTCGTCGCGGCAGCTTTAAGGCACAAGCTGGACGACATTACCCCGCTATATCTCGTAAAGGTTAAAGAGCGGGGAGAAAAAATTATGCTATAGTCGTCGTTTTGCTCGGCTTAGAAACAGTCGCACAAAGCGCTTGTCATCCATCGATTGACAGCGGCGTGCACCTGCTGTCTCTGTCTCTGTCTCTGTATATATATATATATATATATAGCTTTCTCTCTGCATCTCACCCTCATAAATACGTGTGATGTGAATGAAATAAATAGAACTCCACGTTTCTACTCAATATAAACATTGTTTTACAGCGAAACTGCTGGTGCAACAATGGGGCTTCTATCGGTGGGGACTGTTCGAGGAATATCCCGTGCTAGAAACGGATCCCCTGTTTTACGTGGAGGAGGACGGCACGGTAGAGGGCGTGCGATGCAGCCATGACATCACAGGAGCCGGTATGTGATATCACAGTATAAATAAATAAATAACGTATCGTAGGGCAGGCAGACGTTAACAACTTACACAATCGCTTTGGGGCTGTTTCATAACTATGTACTAACTAACGTTAAATATATATATGAGAAACAGCTAAGAAGAGAGAAGGGGGGGGAAAAGAGTGGAAGAAAGGAAAGAGAGACGAGAGTAGAGGAGAGAGAGATAGAGATAGAGAGAGAGAGAGAGAAAGAGCCGAGTGGGAAAGAGAGGGAGGAAGAGAGAGAGAAGATAAAGAGAGAGAGAGAGTAGAGAGAGAGAGAGAGACAAAGCGAGAGAGAGAGAGAGAAGAGGGGAGAGCGAGTGAGGGGAGACGTCCCAGGGTGGGGGGGGGAGGAGAGGAGGGGTGGCGGGCGAGACAGGTGCGGGGAGATGGCGGATAGGTGAGAGGGAGGAGCGCATGGGAGGGATAGGGGAGTGGGGTGAATACGTTAGGGCATGCATATATATATTATATATATATATAAATATTATATATATATATATAACAT